TTTTAAATTAAACAATAATCCAATATAGAGGTTCGGTTTTGTTTAAACATTTTGACTTTTATTTCATTGTCTTAATACGAATGTCTGTATGTCATTGTGTACTACCAAGATATCGTATGCTTCAAGTTCACCAAAGCTATCAACTCGGTCGCTGTTCCCACGGTTCTTCCGTCTGTATCCACCGGGGAATATGTTCAACATTGCCAAGCTGGCCCTGATAAGAGAATTCAACTGGAAGAAAGTGGCGACACTTCATCAGTCAGTTGCCATCTTTTCATTGGTACAACTTTCTCTAAAAGTGCTTATACGATACATTTAGGGTGATTTAGCCAGCAATGTTGAAATCAATCGCAGTCAGTGTTTTCTTTTCAGCAGAACTTAGCTGGCATGCGTTTCGAAAGAAACGTTATAGAGCCTGAAAGTTGACTCCTGATGGCGCGCTTCCAGAACCTTGGATAGGACAAAGATTTGTGAATGTTAATTTTTTTTTCTTGAAACATCCATTCGTAAAATGGGCTTTGAAAAATACTTGCTGGTTTATCATTTGATAGAAACTGAAAAATCATCTGACCTGAAAGAGAAATATCCTGCAAAAATTGAAACATCACTTCTGAAAATTATGAATACATGAAGAACAGTGCAATGCGAAAGTCTCATACGCAGATGAACATTTACGGGTTGAAATGTTATTGTTGTCTGTCGGTAACGACGAAATAAAAAAATAAAAACATTTTACACACTTTCGTAATTTATAAGGTAATAAACATAAAACAGTGTTCTACGTTTACGAAAGATTTTAATATTTTTTCTAACCTTTGCTGACAATATCTACGTGATGTCAACTCAACAGAATCTAGAATCCATCGACTGTAGGTAGGTAAACCTTTGCAATGTTGTACAATCTGGTAACCACGAAGGCACGGGGAGTTAAAAGAAACGTGCACGAACAAGGAGACCTAGAAACGATACCGCAGGACGGAGAGGTCGTTAATAGAATTCGTTTTCTACCCATCTCCACGTGACTTTTCCTAAATATTACTTGAGTAAGACAGAGGTAAAATTCCAACATGAGTCTTTCATGGGTTGGTTTCAGTTAGGAATTATTTTTCCAAAAATTATCGAACGTGATAGGACGGCCCAGTGTAAAATTCCCATAAGCAGACCGCGCGAGGGTTCAGGAAGCTCGCTGCGTGACGTTTTACTTTCAGGCTCTATTAAGATGAAGTACTTTGAAGGTTTCACTGATCATTCTGAATTGTTTTGTTACAGTGGCCTATCCAGCTCTGGTGTGGGGGGGGGGAAGTCAAAAGCGAATGCGGCTTCTGGCTCATTCAATATGGTGTTCGGGGAGAAATACCAAAAGCCTTACTCACGGTCGGGTTTACTTGCTTGTGTTGTTTTCTTAGGGTTTTGGTGCTGATATTTGATAACTAAATATATCGATTACTGTCTATCCAGCTCACCTATGAAGTGTTACAAAAAGAAAAAAATGTTGGCGTTCAGGTCGAAACCCTGCCCCCTGCACTTCCCTTCCCCATGCCCCCTGCCCCCCCCAACACTCCACTGTAACAAGACCTCATTAAAGTTTTAAAGAGAGGCTTATATCTTTATATCTCCTCAAAGGCCTTCGCAGAATTCCACCGTGATGCTAAAAGAGCCGGTATCGAGGTGATAGCTGCAGAGAGTTTCATTGAGGATCCAACTGAGCAGGTGGAATTCCTGAAGGTAGAGATGGGTTCAAAAATGTCGCAACCTCAAAATTCGAGATCCTGGTATTCTACAATTTTCAGAAGTAGTTTTCTGAACTAGTAATGCAAATTGTAAGCTAGAAAATTCAAGTTGCAGAATATATCATCAACAGAACACATAATCTCTTTTGATGTGAATTATTCCACACCTTGGAAATTATAATTATATTTTTCTGTGGTGTTTACGTGTTTCTTACCCATTGTCTGGGCATCAGTAAAAGCTTTTATTTTCAACGTGACTATTCTTCTTACCGTAGCATTCGGGTGCTCGCATTATCGTCGCTGGTTTCTATGGTGACGGGGCAAGAAAGGTGTACTGTGAGGCGTATCACCAAAAGATGTACGGCGCCAAATACGTCTGGATAGTGCCAGGTATAATCTCACAAAAATGTCGCACTCAAAAACTAAAGGAATTGTCAATGCGATAAAGTGGTCGGTTATTACAAGGATTGCCAGATTACAAGATAACGGGACACCTACTGTAACGTATTATAAATTGCTCCTATCGGCCAGAGTTTGTTCATGTTTAGTGCAACAAAATATCGTGCTTTACAGCCATGTAACTAAATTAAACCTTACTCTGAAATAAACATACTTTACTGTAAAGGATGGATAACTCTGAATATTTGGTTGGTGCCGGACGATTCGGTTGACTGTTCACTGGACCAGCTCAGGGAAGTGGCGGGCGGCCAGATAGGCATTAACGCTGTAAGTCTTCCTCCCGATTCTCAGCGAGCACCAGCTCTGTCAGGAATGGTGAGTCAGAAGTCAAAGTGTGATGTCATAGGCTTATTTCCCCTCCACGTCTAAAATGAATGAAGCTTTGCGTGAACAATTTGCACACAAAGATACTATGGGTTATCGTTGTTCGTTATTTTTCATTGAAGTAGTTCATGCAAGAAGTTGATTATTTGGAATCTGCCTCTGCACTGTAAACAAAAATTGGGCATTTTGACTAATAAAAGTTAGTCTGGCTCTACGTCTAAAATCACCAATTTAATTTAGTGAGACAGGCCAATGACCAAATTTATTCGTCAAATATAAATCAAATATTAGTCAAATTTGACCGAAGATCAGTCACTGATGACTAAATATTAGTCCTGTCTTAATTCAATAAGTCATCAAGAATGACTTACTTTTGTTTACAGTGTCCCTGTGCCCAGTTAGCAACAATCAAACCTTATTTGGGCTCTTTCCTATGTTTTGCAGACCACCAGCAAGTTCTTGGAGAGGTTCAAAGAGACTGTTGGCTCGGACAATCCAGAATCCTTGCCTGGTTACTCTGAAATGCCGTTTAGCTATGACACCATATGGACTGCTGCCCTAGCTCTACACGAGGCTGATAAGCAACTTGGCAATTTAGGTAACAGCAGTTTCTCATTTGGTTTCTTTTATTGCAAAATAATGTATAACCTCGTTCCAATGTTGGGTGTTCTTAATTTTCTATATCTGTCATTAAATCCGAGTAGCTACCATTGCATCGTGTTGCAACAGCAGCAGGTCATTGGTGTACGACTGCATGTGATCACAGTCTAGTAATAATCAATCGAAGGATTAAATAAACCGTTGCCTCCAATTTGAGTGAAAAAATAGAAATAAATAATAGTTTCAAAGACTCCTGCGAATAAAGATAAAAGGACATTGATTGGCAAGAATCACTTAAAATAAAATGTGCATAGTCCATCAAAATACTTTTTAACTTGAACTATCCTTTCACTTTTCTAGATCCTCCACGAACCTTGGCTAATTTTACGTATGAAGATTCCGTAACCGTACAAATCCTCTTTGACATTATTAGCAACATGTCTTTCCAGGGCATATCGGTGGGTAATATTATTTAATGCTTGTTATATGTAATGTTCAAGTTTGAAAGTGCCACATCCAAAGCGAGGAAGTTATATTATCCAATGAAATTTCTTCATTGGCTGTTTTCGTAATAAAGTCAACGTATATTAATGATGTAGGGTGTTCAAGCACCAAAAAGTACGAAAGGCAAGAGTACCACGTGACTAAGGAATACCCCTTATACATGCATGATAAGGTAACACGATAGCACGTGAAATACAAACACAGAAATTGACAAATGGATATAGCGCCCTGACACCAAAGAACCAAACGCTTGAGACTAAACCTCCAGGTGTGTCTCTTGAAATCCATGACAGGGTCCTGTGAAATTTACTCCGTCTGGCGACAGGCTTGGATTAATTCAGATTTGGCAGTTACAAGGTCAGTTATAGCTATCTTCGTATGGAATACCTTCATTTCAAACCAATAGCTATAATGAGGAAATAATAATATTATCGCCTTTATTTCATCACACACGCTTGTCCTGCCCCTTCCGTTTCTGAACAGGATGCTGTAATTAGTTTTGACATTAAATTTTTGTGAGTGAGGCTACTTAGTAATTGTAAGGAATTTCAACCTCGCTGGCATAAGCATTTAGTAAGACAACGATCTGGTACATCATGGCACGGCACAATAGTAGAACTCTGTCCGTTAAAAGCGCCCCCAAGAGTCCAAAAAAGCACAAAAGTACTTGCAAAAACTGCTTCCAAAGAACATCTTGAATACTCACACAGATAACAGACACGTCAACGTGGGGGTGATGGACCCAGGTACGAGCGAAGACATCACATGGGAAGGATACGAATCAATCCGCTGGGAAGGTAATTCTAGTATTGGATACCAATATGAACAGGTGCCACGATCTTAGTGTTAAATCAATACCTTTCTCTCGTATCCAATGCCTGTACAGGGCGCTGAAAAAGCTAATTTCTTTAGGCTGCATGACGTCACTGTTCTAACTTTAAAAATATCATTTTCGATGGCCTGTTTCTGACTCTCTCAATCTAAGAGAACGCCTTTACGATTCTTTTCAGGCGGGGCACCCCCTGTTGATTTTGTTATTGAATTTGAAGATCGTCAGACGATACGAAGTGCAGTTTTCATTTCTGGTGCAATTTTCGCTACGTTTGGGATCATCTTGGCCTGCTGCTTCCTGATTTTCAACATCCACTTCAAAAACCGCCGGTTAAAGAAGAGTATTTTTTTTCTTTTAAAGAGTTTTTTCATTCTCGGAACTGAAAAAAAATTATGTGTTTCTCATGCTGAATTGCACTGACCTCATATGACTTCATTTAAATTTAAATGACAGAAATGTCATTGTCTAAACAAACCTTGCGTGTCATTAAATGAAGCTGTTCTTACGGAGCGCTGAGTCCTTTTGCAAATTTAGCCAAATCCAAAACTATATTTTTTTCTTGCACCATTTGGCTTATCGCAGGATGATCAAGATGTCGAGCCCCAACATCAACAACTTGATGCTGATTGGTGGTATGCTAGCCTACGTCTCCATCATCTTCCAAGGAGTGGATACGGCCATAGCATCCACTGACACATTTTTGTCGATGTGCAAGGTGAAAATGGCATCTCTTTCGTTCATGATGGATAATTCTAAAGAAGGATGAAGATTATACATAATGACATATTGTTCGGTGTTCCATATATGAGCATTGCGAATCCGTCAACTTGACCGTCATGCCTGGTAAATCATCTTGAGCATGGAAAGTTGTTGACTTTTGGGCAACTCTACATGCTCAACAGGCTGTAGACAAACAACATTTCTACTAATTTAGCCATGACGAGGAATGTGGAAAATGTGATTACCTAAACACATTACCTAAAGCCTATCCGAGAGAACAAAGAAACCAGATTTACGTTTTGCTACATTCCTTCTCTTGATTTTTCGACTTTTACTTTTCAGCAATTTGTAAATTTAGAGGTTTCATCTCATACTTGGATTATGACACTTGGTGGTGCCATTCATTAAAGTATTAAGATTTTTTCGTTGTGTCAACTGATACGTCTTTACGTCATCCTTCATACAGGCCAAGACATGGTGCCTTTCTACCGGGTTTTCCTTGGCCTTCGGCTCCATGTTCTGCAAGACCTGGCGTGTGCACAAGATATTCACAAACAAAACTGCAATGAGGATGGTAATAATACGATGATCCCTCTGATTTGTATTAATATTACACAGGACCAAGATCGCTATTCATCACCGTTGGTTTTTCAAGTGGAAATTCATTCCTTCAGATTCTTCAATCTTACATGCTTTGTTCAGGTACTGAAGGATCACCGATTGCTCATCTGGGTTGCCGTACTAGTTCTCCTAGATATTGTTATTCTCATTTTGTGGGAAATTCTTGACCCTCTAGTTGCGGTAGAGCGGCTTGGAGCTAAAGTGGTAATTACTTTTTTTTTTCTCTTCCCATACAAAATGGTTTTATTGATCTACGTAAATCGTCCTATTATTTTAACACCACTGCTATAATCATTATTTCAATTCATCACGCTGTATTTAGTGATATTTCTCCATGGTTAGGTTGACAACGAGAATGACGACGTTGTGTACACACCTATCCGATTGTTTTGTGAGTCAAGGAACCAAATCTACTGGATTGGTACTTTCTACATCATCGATGGCCTCCTGCTAATATTTGGCGCTTTTTTGGCCTGGGAGACCAGAAAAGTCTCCATCCCAGCACTGAACGACTCTAAGTATATAGGTAGGCCCCGAAGGTTCAATTATAATTCTTAAGTCTTTGTTAGGACTTGATTGGCGTGATAACTTGAGACCCTGTCCAAATTTTTTCCTCGTTCAAAGTGTCATATTAATAATTTATGCAGTGTATTTCTTAATCATGGTATAATTTTATTAACGGAAACTGCACAATTCAGTTAGAATTAACAACTGACGGATGACAACTAATATTTCCAGGTATCTGTGTCTACAATGTTCTGATAATGTCTTTAACGGGCGCGCCAATGTCGTTTGTTCTCGAGGAGAGGAACGTGCATTACGCCGCAGTCGCTACCCTGATCTGGCTAACCACTACACTCACACTCTGCGTAGTATTTGTACCCAAGGTAAGCAGATCTAAATCTTCCATCCCTTTACCTTAGATCAAACAGATAGGTCCCGATATTTTAATGTTCGAGTCAACGATTCCCTATTTTCGTAGAGACCGTTAATGAGCCGATTTTGGCCCACCTCATAGCAGGGTGGGAGCGGACTCCCTCCTTCCAGGACAAACATACTCCATTTTTGTAACATTTCAAGACACTTCTTTTCATTATAAAGGTGAAGGTTGATATATATCAAACATAATGGTATTATTTTAACGGTCACTTGAAGTTCGAGGCTGCGTGCCAGTCCAGGTGCATTGAGAATGAGAGCAGTGTGTTCGATTTCATAAACTTGGCGTAAAACTGACCGCAAAGTGTTACACTAAAAACTTGTGAAGGCTCAGCCCCTGAATGAAATACAGAGAAGATGTCTCTTTTGGGGATAAGAAAAGGGCCCTGGTTTTAGAAACAAGCTCCTATAATACAGCTAATTTGCATTGAAGCTACCTCCTAATAACATGTAAGATTTATAGTAATATTTCATGACTTTCAAACGGTTGCACTGTTTCAGGTACGGGCCAGAAACGTGGTGCAGCCTCGTAGCCACCAGAGTGAACAACCTGCCGACGTGGAGAGGGAAATGCAGCGGCTCCGGCAAGAACTCGACAGAATGAAGGCGAGGTTAGAAATAAATTGAGGATTGGTACTACACCCTTGATTCTATTCTGACTACATTCGTACATCTGACTGCAGTGCTGGATGAAACTTTGAAGAGTCCTGTCAAGGGTATGCTTATGGGACAGACAACATCGTTTGGATCTTTTTTGATAGTAAACATTGACTGACCATTGTTACGATCAGATTTGGTTTCGAAAGAGCATATACGAGACGAACTACATAAGTGTGAATGAATAGGATACTGAACAACCGATCTGACTACCCACCGCTACATATAACTAGGCTTAGACACCAAATGCCCCATGCTATGAGTAGGTCGATATCATAGGACCGTAGCATGGACCATGTTCGCCACACTTGTAAGCTAGACCAGCGCTAACTTGTGCACCGCAGCAGTGGCTCTCTGTTGTGTTTCAAGTGGGGGCGTTTTTCATGCCACACTCTCAAGCCTGGCGAACGTGCCCCTGCTACGATCCTGTGATACCAACCTGCATATAACATGACGTATTTGATGTGAAAGCCCTACTTATAAGTAGCGCTGGGTAGTCGGATCGGGTGCACCGAACAACATCAGGTGAAACTAAGGGAAAAAGCAAGACCAACCAAATCGTACCTATTAATATGATTAAAATTAAAAATAATTAATATTTTTCATCATTTCCAAAATTACAAATAAGAACAAACTGAGATACAACAACGAAGTACGAACAAGAGACATTATGAAACACTGTTCGATTCCACAATGGCTTCACCTCGTGGAATAAAAGTTTCATATGTCACCTCACGAAATAACTGTTAACTTTGCACTCATAAACATTCATTATTGGTATGATATATTTCTGTATGTAAATTACGTATAGGATAACATATAAGAAGTAAGATTCACATAGAGGGCACCATGTCGAACTATTCAATTTTGACTATTGTCGTTCAACCACAGCCAACATGAAGGCTTAATTCCTTCAAGACACTCCTAGTAATTTGACAATGACTATTTGAAGTTAAAGTAAAACAGAAGTTAATGCATGAAGGTACAGATTATTTCATGTATTCATTAATGTAACTGTCGTAGCTAAAGACTTGCAAATAATTGTGTAGTGTGATGTCGATAGAATCATTATAAGAAAGTATTTGAACAGCTCGTTTCTTAAATACGAGGTTTATCACTCGAAAAAGACCGGCACCAGATGATGATGGAATTTTAGTATATAAGGACAAGTAAAACATTAAGACTCAGTATTCATAAAATCACTGATAATTTCACATTAAAGTCAACTACATATATAATATATATATAGCATTTTATTTTCTTTGGCACATGCCTATTTTAATTGCATATTCTATTAAGGTATTAAACGATTTGCACGCAACTCCCAAAGCTATGTTGCTATCGTAGTTAACAGGTTAATGGACCACGATTTTATTATATCTGTACTGATATGTCATAGCAAATCTTGCATAAAATATCAGAACTATTGTAAAGTGCCATCTTCCATATCGTTTACTTTGTCTACAAAATCTGCAAGCGAAGAGATCTGAATCAGTGGATCTTGGGTATTGTAGCAGAACAGTCAATGTGTATGGTAAGACTTGTTGAAGTTTATGTACAACTAGTACGCGGACACAGGCTGATAGTGCGGCGCACGAATTGCACATGGAGTTGGTACCTGGTTCTGTTTGGTCGCAAGCTTGTGTGCGCTGCGTCTCTTTTGTCTTCCACTTCTCATTGTCTTGGACCTGGAGTCCGTGCTTACGCTGCGCAACCTGGTGTTCCTGAAGACAACGCAGCTGGGCCGTGTACCAGAGTTTGTTTCTGCATTGATCAATTGGGGACCCTGAACAATACTGAGGACAATAAGGTCCCCGATTGACAGAGGGTCCCCGATTGACAACTGTGTACAAAACATATGGGTGGTCTTCCAAAAAAAGTTTAAGTACAAACAAAAGAGGAACAATATGGGGTCCCCAGTTGCATCCAAATACACAATTGTGTGGGTGAGTTAGAACCCCAGTTACTGGGCTGGAGAGGGGATTTTGTGCTTGTCAGCCCTGTTTGGACCAACGTGTGTGTGCCCTGGTGCCTGGTGGTAGACTGCCCTGCAACGAATAATGTAAACAGTCCTTCAAAATAAGTGACGTACTAATGCAAAATTCCTCCACAGCTTTCCCTTAATAAATGCACTGCTACTTGAGGAGAAATTGTGTGGAAAGGATTTACTCTCCCCACAATTTTACTGCAACTTGTCCCGGGCGAAATGTGAGTAATTCACATTAAACGGTTCAACTTTGCTGACTCTAGAGCTGCGTTGAGTCGTTCAGTATAAGGCCTAGACAAGCACGCACGCTGGCATGACAGGCGTACACATGTTCACCTCGCGAAGTACCATTCGTATTGTTTATTTTCGCCTTATTACTACCATATGCAGCCTTAACCATAAGAAAAATACATCAAACTGGAGTGTCAGTTTGGCTTGAAGGGGTGGTATTGCCACCTTAAATGTTATGCGAAACATTGCAGAGTTTCGGCCTCCATTTTGTCTGTTCTGTGACTGTCTGTGTCTTGACGTTTTGAGTGCTGTCGGCATTCGTTACGGTCATGTGGATTTAAGGCATTAGAGCGAGAACCAGCGGGTCAACTAACAAGCGAACGGTACTTCATTCGTTGGCACTACACTTCGCAGTTCAAATGACGTTACACATCAAGTATGGAGCGTGAGAAGTGGACAATCCCATTTTCTCATATTCTGCCAGTAGATTTTCGGGATTTTGGACTTTGCGAATAGCATTTTCAAAAAACGCAATTTTCCCCTAGCAAAACTTTGGATTTTACTCTAACAACTCTCGTGGCGCGTCAAAGTGGACAACTAAAAACTTCAAATTCCCACTTGCAAATTTTATTTGATGCTCTAAAAGAAAAACCCTATTTTCTCATTTTCTGCCCATTGATTTTTGGTTTTTTTTTTAAGTTGCACCACCCCTTTTCATAAAACCCAATTTTCTGCTAACAGAAATTGGGATTTTACTTTGACGTTGACGGGGTGCTCCAAAAGTGGACAAGTTGAAAACTAAAACGGCTGACGTGCTCCCATGTATATATATAATATAGACAAGTAACAATGGGCTTAGGGTCACATCAATTCTCAAGACGCCTGTCGAGTCATCCTGAAATACTCTTTCACCAACAGTTGCTGCCTGAAAAATCTGAATTTAACACACCTTTATGTATTTTGTCGCTCGAATTCTTACTTTCAATCGTCTGGTCGTAATTTGACTGAGAATCGTGAGCAATAGGCATAGCGTCACTTTGTGGCAGAGAGTGCATACGCATCGTGTATATCTCGCCGCGCCGTTGTCAATGTGCGTATTAAACTGACACCTACAGCCTCGTTTTCAAACGCAGAAGTGCGCAGATCGATGCCACACGCGTCATGTTGGTTTGAGATGATTACATCGGCAGTTTTAATGATAACTTATGAAACGTAAGATGCCCGCAGTCCTGGACAACGCCTGGGTGAAGGGTTCTAGTTGGTCCATCGCAGTCGCGTCCAGCGTTGCATCTTTGATTGACCGCAAATAGCAGAAAAAAATTACAAAGACGTAAAAGTGATTGTGTAACAAACCTTCGACAATATAAATTTAAATCACATGTTAAACATAATATCAAAATCAGACAAGTCCAGCTGGAAGATCTAACAAGATTATGTCAATGCAATATTCCTCCACTCATTCCACGACGCACCACACAGCTCAAGATAATGCCGGACTGCATTTAAAAAAACAGAGCCATTCCGATATTGGATTAAGTCTTTTTATAGATTTCATGGTGTTAATGTTGGCATGCCTTTGTATTATTGAAGACACTACAGCAATAACATGAACGTGTGACTTTGTGAAAAAGGCACCATTTTATTTAGTTGTCAAGAGGCATGAAGCAGTTCGCTCACATGATGACAAGTCCGTAGTGTGGATCAACTTTTTAGGGCTTCCGATGATTTTGTATGAGGACAACAGATTTTCCATTCGTATCTAATTATTTAAATTTGTTGACATTATAAAGTTAAAGCCACTCCGTAAATATGTATGCCCACTATACTTTGACAAATATATTTTATACTGGAATTCATATGCTGTAATGGCAAAGTACACTTTCTGTGTTGAAAAGCTTTGCTGAAATATGCGATTCCAATTGTTCTCAGCCTTCACTGGAAATTCTTTACTTGACTCCTATAGCTAATTGCCTTTGTAGTAAATGCCGCCTGTACCACTGGTAAAGCTTTCAAAAACAGTGATCAGACAAATTAGATTTCGGTGTTTCTGCTCACTTTGTAGTAGTCATGCAAATTCTTCTCTACTCTAGAACTTTGGAAATTCTCGCGCTGCCTAAGAAATCACATAAAATTGTACGATGAAAGAATGCAGAGATGTCTGAAATTACCCCGAAATACAAGCAGCAAGAAGATATATAATTGAATTAACAAAGCTTTCTTTTCATTAAATATTGGTGAGCAAACTTAATTAAGGCGCTGTTCCATCCCCTTAAGGCACTACAAACGAACTGGACTGGAAGTCTGTGTGAATATACACAAAAGATTTCAGGTAATAATTTGATTAGGATGGAAAACATAAGTTGTAATTTGGTCCGCACACAATTAAGGCAGGGGAAAATTTCCTTTCTCGACTTTAATCAAAAAGCAGTTGGGGAGTTACGAAAAACCAAACAAGCCAAACCCCTACAGTCGTTCTACTGAAGTTACTGGGAGCATTGTCGCGTATTCTATACAAACAGTAGCGTCAGGTCCTCTCAGAACAAATGACTACGGACGGTGGCGAATTACCAACAAGCTATGCGATTGGACATCGGTGTACTAGTCACTGTCTTTGTTTATATGCTTAAAAAACCACGAGAAATTTGACATTGTTGCCAGGACTGTATTCAGTATCCCTCATCGTCCAAATGTATGAGCAAACGAAAACTGCGCCTTTTTTGCACTTAGATTTTGGGGTAGCAAGAGAAAATGCTGCTGCTGTTTTTCCTCGTTACAACTGCTAGCACTCCAAGTGTGTGCCAGTCCAATGTCACCAAACTATACCTCCTTGGACTCTATCCGGAGTCTGGCCCGTGGGCTGGAGCGCAGACCGCTATACCCGCTACCGAGCTAGCTGTGAAGGACATTAACGGCAATCCGGATATCCTACCTGGGTACGAGATTCTTGTCATACCAAGGGATTCAGAGGTAATTGCAGGGGTGGCTTTATCAATTATTGGCTGTTTTCAAAGGTAAAAGATTCAAACTCTTATCCGTTACTATAACAAGGGACCAGACAATTTAGAAATAAAAATTGCGTTAGGATAAAGGAAATCGTTAGAGAATGTTTACCACTTGGTGTTAAACATTTAAATATTATACGCAGTGCAATTAATACTCTTAGGACGAATTGAGCCGTTGAATGGAAAAACAGGATTAAAAAGTTTGAAGTTTACTCTTTTTAAAGTTTGCGCAGTAAAGGTTTTGCTCATTTCAATGTTCAGGCTCTGAGGTCGTTAAGTGTAGGTTATTTTTCTTGTTGATGACGAAATGCCTGATCTTAGACATTCTAGTTTCATAGAAAGAGATAAGTTTATAGTCGATTCCAGTCGTGTGACTACTGATATTACTGTTTTTGCTTTTCCTTGGAATGAAGTTCCACAAACTCTTTATGTTACCGGTAGACAACTGGCCTTTTTAATTTAGAATAAATCATTGTTGCAAGGAGAAAACGGGCTGTTTCTGTCGTCAGTCTAAATCTAGAAAAAGCGCAGCAAACAAGAAAACAACATTGTAAACTCTTTAAAAATTCAAATATGAAGATATTGTACTCCTTTCCTGTATTTATGAAAAGCACTTTGGCTGAAAAAAATTCAAATCTTAAAACATTTGTCCCTAGAAGAAGTAATCTCTACATTTTGGGTTTTGTAAATATTATCAGTGTTTTTTTGAAGTAAGTAGTCGCGACGTTTCAAAGCAACAAAAAGCTAGATTTATATGCAAGAACTTTATATTGAAGAAAGGGATTGTAAACCACTCCTAGGGACTGACCAGTTTTCCTCTGCTGTATTGTTGGAACAATTTACGATGGGTTGACGTGGGTTAGATTTAGATGGATTGGGTTTGGTTAAGATGGCTTGGGTTAGGTATAACTGAGTTTATGGGGGGGGGTTAAGCTGAGTTGGGTTGGATTTGGGTTAAATGAGTTCGTTTCTCCAGTGCAATGGTGGCAAGGCTACCGACGAAATGTACCGAGAACTCTTCAACAAGAGCACTACCAAGGTCATGGTGATTGGAGCAGGTTGTTCCTTAGCCACGGAACCGACAGCACAGGCTTCGCACTATTGGAACCTCATTCAGGTTGGACTCCTTAGAATCTTTAACCGTGTCTCATATTTCACGTGTGCCTAAAATTGTGTGTGTGTGCGTGTGAGGGGCGGGATTCCTCTGGTATATTCGGTTTTTTTTCCTTGCCAGTCCTTCTGCTATTGATTAATGGTTTGTCTATTATTTTTTTTCTTCATGTTTCTCACCGTAGAATCGAGGCGTTGTTTCTAGAAATAAGACTTATTACACCGCTGTCTTTACATCCTATCTGTGCACTGTTAAGATATCGTATAGCGCAATGTCTCCGAAGCTATCAAATCGACAGTTGTTCCCTCGGTTCTTCCGCCTGTATCCACCAGGGACAATGTTCAACGTTGGAAAACTGGCCCTCATAACGGAGTTCGGATGGAAGAAAGTAGCAACGCTTTGCGAGTCGGCTCCCGTCTTTTCATTGGTACACAAATCCTCTTAATAGCCACATCAAATAAAACGGCAGTAAATTCTCAGGAAGCTTAACCAATTAATGCTCATCCTTTTGTAAACAATGTTTTGCATCCATGAGATGAACTAATTTGTCCCGTAATCAGGCTTAATAGTCGCTTGGGAGAATTGCAATTTTTGATGTTGTTTCACTCAAAGACAATGGCAGAATTCCACCGTGATGCCAAAGACGTCGGTATCCAGGTGATAGCTTCCGAGAGTTTCGTGGATGATCCGACCACGCACGTGGAACATCTAAAGGTACCAATAATTTATGATGGCAAAACATCAACTCGAGCTTTATTGGTGCCTTCCTTAATCATGCATTGTACAGAATAGTTTTAACCACAGATTTCTGAAATAATTATCAGATATGACACAATCAAGACTTTAACCCGAAAAACAGTAGTGATATCACAAAATGTTCTCTACAATATACGTGCCTCTACATTCCTTGCCTTTTGGTTACTTCACCACTACATATATAGCATACAAATATATTCAACACATAAGTACATGTATCATTGAAATCAAAAGATGAGTTCAAATCTGTTCGGGTGTGTAGTACCCAAGTTTATTATAATTCAAAAGTAAGTGTTACCAAAAGTCAGATATTTCCTGTAGATGCTAATGATGCTTAAAGCCATAATTACTACAGATACTTTTAATATTTAAAACAACTTCAAATTCCTCAATACCTTATACCTACAGGAATCTGGCGCTCGTATTATAGTGGGCGAATTCTATACCAATATGGCGCGGAAGGTTTACTGTCAGGCGTATCACCAGAAGATGTACGGCGCTAAATACGTCTGGATAGTGCCAGGTAAATTTAACTCATTGGGGACTTTATCTTCAGAAAACCATGTGACAAGAACTTTGTCTCGAATTTTAGTCGCCGACAGGACTGGATTTTGTTTTGGTAAAACCATCTCCTCGGGCAATTTGTTAACATGCGTTCACATGCTGCACATGCTTGGATTCAAAGATTCCCAAAAAATGACTCTTTCCGTTTCCCAGAACTCATTCCTTCTCACTCAGCAATTTTAAAATTCATAATAACAAACTCTGTTTCATGGAGGAAACAATTTCTTTCATTAACAGCAAAGAAGCAGACTAGAGGAAACACATATCATAACGTTGCTTCTCAAATAACGCATCGAATCAAATCTCGAGTACCAACCACAGTATTCCAGTTCAACCTAGTCCCTTAGGGTAAACTTATACTGAAATAAGTGGACTCAGGACTGTAAAAATAAACATGTTAATTATCAAAGTACTTTTGAACACGGTTAAACTAAACCCTTACTGTTTTATTGCACATTTCAACATTGGAGCAAAGTTATGAAATATTAGTTTAACGGTTCGCCAAAAATGACAACTTAACAAAAAAATATTTTCCTTGTTTCCTCATTGGTTTGCTTTGTAAGAAAGAGTTAGTTAAGTAAAAAGTATGCGGTAGCATCATGCCAAAGTATCTAAATTTATATGTGTTGTTCTGAAAAGAACTGTAGGGTACCATATATATTCAGAAAAGGGATATTTGTGCGTGGTGCTACCGGAAACCTTTAAAAAGCAACCCCAATGGTGGAAGAATATAAAAAATCTGGACGTAGTATGTTTACTTGAATCCCATTACAGACATTTATGCCAGATAAACCCGGATTCAGCAATTTTTTGGTTAAAAAACTCAGTTCTGAGACTCATTTCAGCGGAACGCCATGGCTAGCTTTCGTGAAAGGTGCGAGTTGTCATCGCTTCATTTACATCTAGGAAATACGGCTTTTCCAGAATTTTGTCGACGTAGCGCCGTGGAAACGGTTCTCCGACTGGTGCATGTGCGCACTGAGTGGGCGCAGTCACGTCAATGCACATAATTACATGTAGTATAGTAACAGTTACACACTGTCCCAAGTACGAGGCGCAGAGTTTTACCGCTTTGAACTAATCGTGCCCCCCCCCCCAGTGCCGACGGGATCCTGGTCGGGCTGACGATGGGGCCACTGCTGGTGAACGAGGCGGTTAAGGAGGCCACGATCATATGATAGATAAGGCCTGGTAGGTTCAGAGTGGACAGATGTTTTCAATTCTTATGTTGGATGTTGTTATTTTATTCCGACAAAAGTGTCAGGCTAGGCTGACAGCCCTGGCGTTTAGGCTTTTGTATATACTAAAACATGCGTGGTCATGACGTCACGTTTTTCGTTTCCACGGTGGCACGTCATCAAACAAGCATTTCTGAGTGGCGCCACTAACGGTACCAACGTGCAAAATTTTGAAAAACCCGCACAATTGGTCCGTATTTTTTTTTCGCAGTCACAGTGCCACTTACAGATTTAACTTATTACCTAGATACCACGTGAGTATATTAAACTGTATTCCCTATTTTTTTACCACCACTGGGGTTACGCTTTTTAACTCACCATGCCACGTTGGATAAGTGTGTGAGGGATAGGTGGTATTGTAATAAACAAATCAGAAACAAAGTATCTCCTTCGTGACTCTGAAGGATGGCACACCCTGAACTCCTTGCTGGTGGCAGACGATTCGATTGACTGTTCGTTGGATCAGCTGAAAGAAGTAGTGTCTGGGCAGTTTGGACTAGCCGTACTTAGCTTTCCGACAGATCCTCGGCGAGCACCGACTGTGTCCGGGCTGGTGAGTCTGAAATTTGAAGTTAGATTCACCGAAATTGACAGATCAGAAAAGCTGAGGGGGGTATCAGGATTCAAATCACCAACGTTTTATACCTTCCATGAATATCCATTAATTGCCATTTCAGATAAGTCTCTGTTGACATTTTCTTCGATCGTGACCCGTCACCTGACGTTAGTCTTCCAAGCGTGCACACCTATAGTTCCAGATTTACACGTAAACTGTAATGAGGGAGGTTGACATCACTAAAGCTTTCAGGCCCCTCTTAAATGAGCAATGATTAGTCTTGATTGATCATTTTTTCCGTTCAGCAATTTATTGCGAAATTTACTTCAATACCCAATCGACCTACCAGGCGTTAGCGAAACCAAACGGCGTTTTTTGCCATTTTACTTACTCTCAGACGTCTCGCAAGTTCCTGGAGAGATTTAAATTGCTTGTTGATTCAGAAGATCCGGAATCCCTGATTGGTTTCCTTGATATGCCGTTCACCTATGACACTGTCTGGACTGCTGCCCTTGCTTTACACGAAGCCGACCAGCAACTTCGAAATTTAGGTAAATCCAAATTCTATTCTAAAAATCCTTTAATCGGTTGACACACATACATTATGCGAATGGCAGAAATATGTTCTTCAGTTGTTTAGTTTCTCAGGGATATCAATTGGACAAAACTTTAGACAACGTGGGCACTATTTTTCAACATTTTAATTAACGACTCCTTTGGGCAAAGTCGAACGAGGTTTACAAAAATAAATAATGGTAAGCACAGTTTATTGAGTCGAATCACTTAAAATGAACATGACTGGTCATAATTTAGCTCACATACGTCTGCGTTTGTATTCAGGTGTCAAGTATCTTTGCAAGTTATTGTAATATGTCTCATTTGGTTCTTACATCGCTAGATCCTCCTAAAACGTTGGCTGATTTCACGTACGATGACACTGTAACCGTGCAAATGCTCTTTGACATAATCAGCAGAATGACATTCGAGGGTATAACGGTGGGTAACAAGTTGCATTTTATTGGTCACCGCACACAGAAAAAAATAGTTCCTTTTTTATTCACAAGGAGTTCCACCAGTTCATTTATCAACCTCCTCTAGTGGTCTCCCAGTTTGTTGGTGCCTTTAAAGAGAGCGTTAATGGTATGCTTTTTAACTATGTGTGCTACTCTATACAGGCAATATCATAAGTGTAAGAGCAAAAACTTCCAATCGAGCAGAACCTTTGAAGGATTCCACTTTGGTGAAACAATAAATATCAGGTCAAGTTTCAATTTAATAAATATGATTACTATCTTTCTTTAATTCATCGAAATCAATCACAGGGTCCAGTGAAATTCACTTCATCGGGAGACCGGCTGGGATTAATTCAAATTTGGCAAATACAGGGTAACTTTCCAGCTTTCATTTTGCTAGCATTTGAGTAAGAGTGAGATGTAGAGTAGATCCCTAAACTTATTTGTCATGTTAATTTGGCTTACATACTCAACCGAGCAGGCTGCTTTACATTTCAATAAAAGTATACAAATTAAACAACTAACTTTCCTACCAATGTTACATCTTTGTTATGACTAAAGCAAAAATAGTAAATACAAATGACGACACACACAGTCAAGAGTTGTAACGTCTCTATAAATGATCACCGCTGCCATATTTAAACAGCAGCGGACTTCCCTCATTTTTTAGTATATTTTAACACTTGCACAGACAACAGCCGTGTCGACGTAGGGATGATGGACTCAGTGGCAAATAAACACATAACCTGGCAGGGATACGAACCAGTTCTCTGGGAAGGTATGTCACATTTGTTGCTGAAATTCTCCGTACGTGCATTACAATTTGAGCTATAGGCAAGCAAGTAGAAGTTTACATTCGTGGCAATAATAATTTGTCAGCCTCATGTCTGTCTACCTGCAAATGTCATTTTTTTTAAAGTTTTTTTTTGGGGGGGGCCTTATCTTTGCTGTTGAAGAGGACCTGTCCTCACATTCCGTTCTCTATTTTGTTTTTGGAAAGATGACTGAGGAGTAGGCTAGCATACCACCAATCAGCATCAAGTTGTTAATGTTGGGGCTAGACATCTTATTAAGGATTAATAATTTTTTTAAAGTTTTTTTTTGGGGGGGGCCTTATCTTTGCTGTTGAAGAGGACCTGTCCTCACATTCCGTTCTCTATTTTGTTTTGGTTCCCTTTCAAGGTGAGGCGCCACCAATTGACTTCATTATCGAACTGGAGGATCGGCAAACGATAAAAACTGCAGTATTCATCACTGGCGTAATCTTTGCCACAGTTGGAATTATCCTAGCGTGCTGTTTCCTGGCTTTCAATATCCACTTCAGGACACTTAGGTATTAAACAGGTGACACAATTATTTGACTCTGATTTATCCTAAATGATGCACGATGTGATGAATTTACCTTTATTTTGACGAAGGGAATCAGCCAATTTGTTTTTTTTAGGGGGGAGGGAGGGGAGCGGCCCTAAAACCATTTGAACTGCTTGTTGCATATGAACACACGACCAAAATTCCACAAGACTTATTGGTAAATTCGGCTAATGCGGATGAATGCCAAATTAAGCAAGGACTACATATAACAAACGTTATTCTAGATATACATGTATTGTGTCATACATTGTTGTGCAAAATTATCACAGTATTCTGTGTGGAACAAAGGTGATATCTTTCATGTTGTGCTACGTTGTGTCTCTGTCTGTTTCTTCATTGCAGGGTGATCAAGATGTCTAGCCCCAACATTAACAACTTGATGCTGATTGGTGGTATGCTAGCCTACTCCTCAGTCATCTTTCAAGGAGTGGATACGTCCATAGCATCCACTGAGACATTTGTGTGGATGTGCAAGGTAAATAAATTATAGTGAGATCTCTATTATTTGTGGTGGTTATACTGAATAAGGATAAAGATTAATAATGGATTATTGTTTGTGGTAATCTCGCTTAAAATGTAATCATGTCATTAAACAGTGTATTCCAGTAGAACATCTACCGCATAGATTTGAAGTATATCCTATGTTGTCTAGTGATCGACTAAAAAAATGCAAAACCGAACAAACCAATAGGCCTTATTGTTGGTCTCGAGGATGTTGGAAATGATATACCTTATTTTGATGTATTAATTATTTTTAGGCCAAGACTTGGTGTTTGTCTATTGGATTCTCTTTGGCCTTTGGCTCCATGTTCAGCAAGACCTGGCGAGTGCACAAGATATTCACCAACAAAACAACAACAAAGATGGTAAATCGCAAAACAAACAACAAACATAACAAAACAACGACATCGCACGACACTACTAAGTCTGTTATTTGTAAAGTCCAGCTATAATGATAATTCTTCCAGAGATAGCAAGGAGGATCAACATTCTTGTTGAAAATTGTATTGATATTCAAAAATGATGGTGCCTGTGAAGCCCATTCCGGAGTTATGCCCCTGCAGAACCTTCAAGTCAACTGGGTGATGTGGCAAATGCCACCAATAACATAAATTCCTCCAAGCCTCCTCCAATTCTCCCAGAATTCTCAAACTTGCAGGGTCTTTCATTTCTCCAATAATGACATGCATTTTTAATCTTATCTCTTCACAAGTTCCACTCCCCATTGCTGGAAACTGGCAAACGTTGTTGCTCTGTTCAAATATGGTGATAAGTCTCTTATTGAGAACTATCTCTCTTACCTCAGTTCCATGTAAAATGCTTGAATGTTTCAGACTTCAGAAACTGCTTGCCCACTTAACAATATAGTACCATTCCTCAATCTCAACATGGTTTCCAACATTGACGTTCTGGTATCACTCAGTTAAATCTACCCTGTTTTATAGATGGGCTCATGCACTAGATGTCTCTGAACCACCCAGAATTGATGCCACCTTTAATATAATAAGTCAAAAGCCTTTGATAGGTGTGATCATCTAAATCTTCTTCAGAAGTTACACCTATACGGCATCTGTGGAATTCCTCTTTCATGGATTAAATATATTGTTTCTGACAGGAAATAACGAGTAATTTTTGCAAGGAACAAGTCAGAATGGATACAAGTTATCTTAAGCGTTCCCAGGGGCTCGGATCTCGGTCTAGTGCTTTTTGGTTTGTTCACATCTGATCTAATAGTGTTCAATCGCCACTACCTCAATATGCAGATGGTACTGTGTTGTTTAAAATTGTTCAAAATGCTAATGATGCAGTTTTCTTACAGAAAGATCTCAACTCGATCTCTGAATGGTGGACACGGAACCACATGAAGCTGAACTCAACCAAGTGTAAAGTGATACATATGCACTCTTTACTACTTCCAGGGTACAGAACAGCTGCAAGTGGTCAGCTCCTACAAATACCCTGGTGTTCTTTTTCCCAGTTACCTTACATGGATAAAGCATGTTAACAAGATTCGTTCAAAATGTTCCAAACATGCTGGTATCATTCGACGCACTGTGAAATCCAGAAATACAGTAGTAAACGTTTCCAATCTCTTTGCCAGTCTGTTCTTGAATATGGATTAACAGTTTGTTACCACATAAGAAAAATCAAATCCAATGTATTGAGGCATTTCAACGACGCTTCACGAAATCTTGGCTTTCCTTACAATCTTGCTACCTCCCTCACTTAAGAAGAACGCTTGTCTAAACGTACCTCCCCCTCTCTACAACAGACTTGCTGTCTTAGGTGTTTCCTTTGTCATTAAATGCCTCTTCAAACATATCAACATCCCATCGAATTTTCTTCCCATCACAGCCTACCACAAGGAAGGCTTACGCTCAGCTAATCATCAATATTGCCCAACTAATTGTGTGAAGTTTTCTTTGTTTACCTTTTTTCCCAGATTGTTTAAATTGCTTCCCCATAACCTCCGAGACTTCTGTCTAAAACCCTCCCCTAAAGGCTTCTTTCACTCTTGACATGAACACCTCTTGAACAAGGGCCCTATCATCCATGCCTGGTAAAATATCCAGTTTCATCTTGTAAAATTACCCCAACTTTCTTTTTAAAGGTTCTATATAGGCGTCTTTTGTTTTTTTGCAGGTAGTGAAGGATCAGCGCTTGTTCAGCTGGGTTGCATCTCTTGTTTTCCTTGATGTTGCTGTTCTCGTCTTGTGGGAAATAATTGACCCACTGGTAGCCCTTGAAAAGCATCGGGATAAAGTGGTAAGGCAAAAGCGCATTTTTTTTTCTTTTTAGCTCAAAGTTATTTTTTGTTGTAATATCTGCTGTTTCATTCATTGAGTGCATTGCCAGCAATTTGCCATTGCAGGTATATTTGTCACATTAAACACCTTAACCTCTGTCCTGTTTTAGACTGATGAGCAGAATGACGACATCGTGTATGCACCAATCCAAGTGTTGTGTGAATCTAGGAATCAGACCTACTGGATTGGGGCCTTCTACGTCATCGATGGCCTTTTGTTGATATTTGGCGCTTTTTTGGCATGGGAAACCAGGACAGTCTCAATCCCAGCACTGAATGACTCCAAAAACATTGGTAAATCTCTGCGCAAAATTTAATAATAATGAAGAACAAAGGAGCTACATTTAAGACTTCCTTAACAAAGGCGTTGAGGCGTTTGAGGCATGGGCGTCGCAGGGATTTTTCTAAGGAGGGAACCATTTTCCCCTTAAGGTGGGGAATTTATGAGAATTGATGATTTATGATAAACCCATTCAAGGTTGGAAGGCAATTTTTTAAAGCAAATCCGTGACTTTCATCCCATTTCCCCTCTTATTTCTATTTAGTTAGTTTTTCTCCCAACTTTTTTAATGTTCCCCATTTTTTCAAGGGGAAGGGGGCACAAGTGCCCCCTCTTGCCCATCCTTCGAGGCGCCCCTGGTTTGAGGGAAAACGTCAGATTTTTGCCTTTGCACATTCATTCTTCAATCGGCTTTTTGTAGGTGTCTGCGTCTACAATGTCTTGATCCTGTCTTTCGTTGGTGCACCAGTGTCGTTCGTTCTGGAGGACCGAAACGCCAACTATGCCCTTGAAGCTTGCATGATCTGGCTAGCCACAACTCTGACTCTGAGTGTTATATTTGTTCCAAAGGTAAGAAATTCAATCATTAAAACTGACATAATTAAACAAGAAATCTCATTACTTCGAATTTGTACAAGGCACTTACAGATTCGAGGCTTTTTTGCTCAAGTTCATGCCACAATTGCTTCAATCTAGGCTATGCCAACAGACCTGCAGGTAACTGAAACGATTTCAAAATGGTTTCAGGTACGGTCAAGATATGATGTGCAGCCAGCCCAAAGCATGCTAGTCTCACAGATTATCCGAAGTCAACATTGTGGGCACCTCACTGACGCCGAAAGAGAGATTCAACGACTACGCCGCGAGCTGGACAGAATGAAGATGGCCGTAGACCGCACGACTACCAAGTGATCTTCAAGTTATTATCTGAACAGATTTAATGCGACAAAATCATTTGAATAAAGTCATTATAATAACCTTGTTCAACCATTATGAACATTGTTTTAAGTACTAAGTTTTATACAGGATATAGATAAAGACTTTTAAAAATGCAACAATCCACACGGACAAAAGCCTTAGATTATACATGTCTGTATACAAATCTTGCACATCTTACAATACTTTGATTATTAAACAAATTGTATAGAGAAACCGACTAGATGCTTAAAAATGATTATAAAGATGAACAAAGAAGTTGACTGGAGCGGGATTTGAACTTGCCACCTCCAGAATACCCAACCGGTGCTCTACCAACTGAGTTATCCTGTCCTATGTTGGTGGCTTTTCCCAATTGTCAATATCTTTGTTCGGGGGCGTTCGCCAGAAGCCATTAACCTGAAACACCATGTAGCAGGGGATCACGCCCTAATAACACAATACAACCTGAGGAGTGGTGAACAGGGATCACTCAGAGAGGATATGAAACAAACTACATAGGGAAACTGACTAGGTGCCTATAAATGGTTATAAAATTAAGATTACTTCAGAATAGCTAAAAATGAAAATAATGCTATTGGCATATGTCAAGCAAGCACTTAAAGTTCAGGTTTTCTTCGTAAAAGAAAGTGAGTGAAATAAAACAGGAGCGACAACAGTCTTTATTTCATGAAAGCTGTAATTCGAATGTATAGATTTTTATACAATATTATGTTTAAAGTATACATGTCCTTGAAGAAGTTTCATCAGATATCATGAATTCAGTCTGTATGTCTTTTAAATTCAAATCCTACTAGTTGAGTGTTGAAGATCATTTGGGCACTCTTTGTCAAAATTTGTTGTAATGCTGGTGAGAAAAACCGCAGTTCTAATCTGTAGGCCTACACAGGTCTCTAAAATAGGCCTACTTGAAACTTGAAAACGTTTAATATTTTTCTCATTTACCTCTTGTAATGCTGTAGGTTAAATGATTGTCATAGATGCTACATATGAATCATATGGAAATGTTTAAATATTTATGGGTATGGACTGCTTAATTTAACTTTTCAGCCGCGCCCGAGTATGGGTGTATCCCTCCACTCGCACACATCATTGAGGTTATAGCACGCACTGCTATTAGGACTAATTAGATAGTAATCCTTATCCAATCATATAAATTCTACATTACAGGAAAGATAATTTGTTAACGAGTTGTTTGGTGTTTAAATTGTTTAAATTGACCGGCAAAAAAGTGAAAGCCGCAAGTCGTTTCTTTCACTTAAATGTGAGCTTTGAAGGGCCTCGAAAATAGCAACACCCTGTCAACCCAAACAACATTTAGCTTTGAAATTGCAGTACTTATTATCTGTCTTGATCTGAACCTCAATAAATCAAACAGATAAGTACAGCAAGCAGAAAGATGTTTTACATTACGCGCAAGAAGACCAAAAATGTCTATTAATGCAGGACTTTCGCAGCGCTACATTTTTATATGCTCTCATATGTCGATAAAAATTACCGAGTGAAACACAATTTATTAATTTCAGTTAGTTCAGAGTTTTGTATTTCCAGCTGAAGAACTGATTGTAGACAAATTCGTTGTTGATCCTTTTGGGACAGGGAATTGCCTGCCTTCCTGTTTCGTCCTTTTGCCAAGCCAACCCCTCCACATTGCCCTCACGCGTTGGTTCAAGCAGAAAGCCGCAAAGATAAACACACCCTGCAGCGGGTTGACAATGGCGTCGATGTATTTCAAGGCCACGTGACCCACTATTCCTACCGTGAAGGACAGAATCCATGTTATCCCAAACAGTATCGCAAGCTGTTGGATTAAAAAAAAACGGTAATTCACTTTTGTTATCTTCAAAGTGCTTATCATTTTCATTAGTAGGCCTATTGTCATCCATGCACATGCATGCATATCTACTAATTCGGGAAAATTTGTGGCCATTGAGGAATGTATTCGGCGTTTTGTGACATACCTTGCCGTAGATTTTCACCTGGTCCTGCAATTCCTTCATAGATTCCCGAGCCCGAACCATCTTGCTGTCTTTCTTGGACTTTCTGACGCTTAAGATGACGAAGAGGAAACTGCCCGTGCTTACCAACAGCGAAGCTGCAACAGGAACGCCAAAGGCAAGTAGACGAACGCCAGGACCAGTGAACGCACAGGGTGAGGTCTTGCTGTATATCACTGGAAGGTGGGTGCAGTTGCAGAAATTCAACACCAGACAAACTGCCACGATAACGAAAGCACTACCCCAGACGACTGTCATGATAGTCAGCAGACGGTAGCAGCTGTGATGTCGGCCTAAAGCCCGTGGACGAAGATTTCTCCCACCAAAGGTTTTGGCAGCGTTTACAGACAATGTCGCCATCCAAAGGAAAGCTGAAATCCAGGAAAAGTGCACCAAGGAGGCAAGAACAACGCAGTAACCTCCATCTAGACCCAATGGAGACTCCAAAACAAAAAGGAGGAGTGCAGTAAAGAGCGCCACCAAAAGATTCATTGTGTATATGCCCGCCGTGTTTCTGAGTTTTTGAAAGGTGCAGTAAGTTACGAAGGTGGCTGCAAGACCGACTAGTGACAGACAACTGCAGACCAAGGTTAAAATGCCGAGTAAAGAGTCATTCGGATCGGACCCGTCAATGGGACCGCATACTGCAGCTTTGCCATCGGGCAACACGGTGAATTCCCGGGGTCCAAACCTTCTCCCTTTTGGTATGTGCTCCAGATCTATGGACAGTAGATCACCCTTGTACGTATACTCGTTTTCTTCTAACAATGCGACTTGAGAGCAGTGTAGTTCGAGCATGTCAAGGCAACCTATTGAAATCGCAGCACTTCTCGTTGTGTTGTAGTTTTGTCTTGTAAAGGCAGTCAAGAAAAAAACTAAAATATCCTGACTTGAGTTTGCACCCCTAAAAGACAGGAAAATCTCTCTTGATTTATGTGTGAAGTTTGTACAAGCGTCGACCGCTTTCAACAGACCTGCGCCATCCAGAACGTAGACCAATAGGGAGGTTATGTTGCACATTTTAATATCAGTCTCTTCCAAGAACTGGTTTCCTAGAACTGGTCTATAATCTCCTTCCGTTCCACTGCCGACTGAGTGAGGCGTCTGAAGTAGTATCGATAGAGTGAAGTTGGACCAAACTACATCCGTGGAGTCTATGTAACCAGCTGGTAGGGCTTGGCAATGAACTACTTCAGGGCCAAGACTTCTGTTGATTATCTCATTACATTCGTCACTGAGGAGGGAAAAGAACTTGGAGGGTAGTTTTACATGAGGCTGAGATTCCAATGAGCACTGACCGTCCTCGTCAGTAGCACCGGACGCACAGATTAATGTCCGACATCTCTCTAGGAATGGATCAAAGAACTGTCCTGGCTTGCAGCCGGAATTCTCGCCGGGACCCCAACCGAAATCGAAAAGAATTTCCAGTCTAGGAAGGGCGCTTGGTGCTCCGCACACTTCTGAACAAAAGGCCCACTTGTCAACGTCACTGCAAATTGGCGAACAGAGTAAACCGCAGTCGGCCACGGGTGATGTCAAGCTTACGTTGGTACACACTGCACAATGCGGATTTTTGAAAGCTTTTTCATTAACGTGAAATGGGGCAAAATAATCCGAGCATGACTCTTCTACGGAAGTGTTCTGGAATTCCTGATCACAAGAGTGGGCAAAATTGACTGGGCAAGTGCGCGCGCTTCCTAAGGATGTGTTTCTCTTTGGTGGTTTAAACACAAATCTTCCAGTTAAATCACCGTCTATGGTTACATTGAACCTCGAATTGTGTGTAGGATTTCCAGAAATATACTCCAAACTTGCACCCCATTTTTGAACACTTCTCAGATGAACTCTGTGGCAAGCTGCGCAAAAGATATTTCTGTAGACAGCACCCTTTACGTCGAATACTGGAAGAGAACCGATGGCGTCATCATCATCGACTTTTCCTTCGCAGAGTTGTTTCACAAAGACGTCTTTCCACTGCTCTGGACAGAAACTAACCAGCGCAAAACCGAAATTTTCCGTAACTGGAAGATCTGTCAGCAGCGCGACACATGCGTAGAACTGGACGCTGATTCCGCCCATTGTTAAGGTCCTCCAGTCAGGAGCAGGGTCACAGTTCAGGCTGTAGTCGTAGCAACAGTCGCCGAAGAAAACACATACGTCGTCACATTTGCATGTCTCTTGTGGCCATGGCCTCAGCGTGTCGTGGCGGCCTTTGTTACAATCAAAGCCACAGTAGTGTATCTCACCACACAAATAGGCCGGAAAGTCGAATCTGGCGGTTGCTGGTGACAAATGGAACATTCGAATGTATAGTTCACTGCAAATTTTAGCAATGGAATAATTTGAAATACTACTTATTTGAAATACCATTAACTCACTTGAACAGTTCGGGAGTCAGGTTAGTGTTAGTTATTGTTCTTCGTTATTCATTATACCTCTGCAGCCCGAATTCAGTCACAGCTTCGTCCACATGTGGATTGGGTTTTCAGTCCCTATACCTGATTCTGTCTGATGTTAAATCGCTCTGTGCGGGATGGTCCATGCGGTATAACCATGCACAATCTCCTGCGATAGATGATAAAACACACTGTCGGTGTTCTACCGTCTTATCGTGTCTTTGGACAATACCAGTGTGGCTGGAAACCGCATTGTTGATGGCATCTGTTTCCCAAAGCTCGGACTAAAATTGGTTGGCAAGCTGCTTTATTTAGTGTTGCTGATGTCGTTGTCAGATTGTTTTCATAGTAGATGTGAAAAGAAACCGACTGTTCATCAGCGTCGCTGTCAAAAATACACTCACGCTGATATGATACGCTTGGAGCCCTTCATTATTATGTAAATGCTAGACAACAGCAAACAGTCGTAAGTATTGCGACTTCGGCGTACTGCGTCACACATTTACAGAATGGCAAAATGAAACCGACATGGTTTATTTTTTTTAGTCCGCTAGATTTCTCAAACCGCGAACCTTTTTCTTGCAGTCAGTTTTAAATACACAGTTTTAAAAATGAGACAATGTATCTGTGGAATACATGAGTGTACTCCACATTAAAAGACACACTGCAGAAAAATGTCCCCCATTGTTAAACTACATCTATAACAGTTGCAGTTACTCCCAAAGTGAGTGCGTCTGCTATTGCGTACCTGCCTTACATTCCACATAAGCAAACTCGCTGCAGGAGGTCAAGGCATCAAACACCAGCTCACATTGTGACAGGCTCCTCTCGTTACCCTGGCAGCCAACCCTCGATACGAACGTACTGTTTGGCACCTTGCTTGCATCGTGTAGTTTTGCACGCCTCACGTTTATATTGCCCAGGTAACCAAGATGCCGGCAGGTCACCTGTGCGTCACGATCATCCCAGCTTCCTCTGCAGATGACTCCCCATCCGTCAGTTGAACTGGAACGACCAACGACAAAGCCGGAGGCTTCGTATTGCGAGTCGACGAGTTTCAGCTCCACATCTACATTGCCAGGGAGGAAACGTGAATCTCATCCCTTTATTGTTCCTAAATCAGGTGGGCTGCTTTTTATTTGAAAGATTGGATTCAAACTTAATTAATCTCAGGAGATTTCGGCAGCGTGAAGCTAGTTACTTATTCTTCGTTTGACGTTCGCGATTCAATGTTCAACAAGTAACGGTTCGATATTCAACGTTGAATAAGTAACAGTTTTACATTCAGTGTGCACTCAGGATGCACATCCCTAGAAACAATGGAGTGGAAAAGGGACAAAAAACAAAAAATGAAAGTCGAACGTCGAACGAGGAACTAACTTTACTTCGATGGGCATTTCAGTGTACTTGCAATATTCTCAAGATACCAATCACGCAAGTGCTTTCTAGTCCACTCACCTTGGTGATTGCACCTCAGACCAGCGAAGCCAAAACAGGGATATTGAAGTGGTTGTCGGTACTGGCAATCTATCAAACTGTCTTTTCCATCCAAGCACGACAGCTCATCCAAGAAGGCGCCGAAAAATCCCTCGTAATTATAAGCTATTGTGTAAACAGTACCAGGATATCCAAGATGGTGGCATGCAACCCGATGAGCCCAAGAAGCAGCCAGCCAGTGATCACCTCCGCATATTCCATGCCAATGGTCGGTGTTATTACAACGTACCTGTAGTGGGCCTTCATTTTCATTGGGGCCAGGTCCTAACCTGAATTCCAGATCTTTATTTCAAACAGAAACAAAAGCAATTCACAATACAGTGGACCGTGCTGTTGGCCATCGTAAACATAAAAAAAAAACTTTTCCATGGTAACCTCTTGTTGGATCACTGTATTGTGTATCGTCTGATAAATGGAAATGCATACATTTGGCGATATTCAGAGTATCATAATATCACACACTTGACTATGAAAAAACCTGTGTAATTGGTTATGCTAAAAGTTATGCTAACTGCAACAAAGGTTGGGAGTTTTAATAAACGCAGATGAAGTAATTATTTAGATAATCTACTGATAGTTGCTATTTGTTTTGACCTTACCTGACCCACACATGATCCATAAGACTTCCTCCTGGTCGCAAGTCTGTTCACCCGTCCGATCGACCATGAGACTACAGGTCCAGTCAACTCCGCCACAGGAGGTGTAAACTCTCTTAACTGGGAAGCCTGCAAATCCGGGGGGCGCCCTGAAACTCTGCAGTGAAGCCACCTTTTGCACGCTGCACGAGATTCTGTATCCTTGTTGCTTACAGGGACTCGCCCCGAGTCCTGGCTCGAGGATGATGGCAGAGCTGCATAAACTATACCACGCTGACTCGTTTGCCCTGCTGCGAACCTGAAGGACGCCCTCGTTTGGCGAAGCTCCTCCAAAAAGCCGGTAGATATTTCCATCATCTAAAAACAAGGTGTAATCAAACTGACTGATATAACAGATATCAACCAACAGTACTAATTTGCCAACACACCAAAAAAACCCTGCTTATTCAATTAGGATCTCATATTCTGATTCTAAATCTAACAAATGCTATTCTGTCTTCTTTCGTTGACTAAATTGAGTAAAAATGTTCCGAACATGCAGTGTAATTTTAATGCACTGTGGTTACTTTCCCTTTGTGTCTCATTTAACATGTTTTTTATTTGCTGTGTCTTGTGATTTGTGCTATGAATTTGAAGTTATGTACAGAAGTATACCAGTACCTCGATTTGTGCAATAATTTCCATAGGTTTGACATTTTATTATCAAAATTTTGTTTACTTTTTGATGTGTCAGCTCAATTCAAGAAAAACCAAGTCTCTTCATTTGTTTGTTAATTTATTTGTAACTTTGTTTTTCACTGAGCATGTGCTCACTTCACAATTTTACAAGCTACACCTATAAGGGACTGTGCTTTCACATCATTATTTCTCTGCAAGGGTACCATATTTTTTTAGAAAAAGCATGGAAAATTTTGAAATATTTTCCTTT